ATAATTTGCAGCGTTTTTTACATACAATCGGCCTTTCTCTTTCTATTTTCTATTCAAAGTAGAGCGGTAAGTAAAAGTTGTATGTTGCGCGCACCAGATTTTTTTTTTCGAGATTGAAGAAGAATGCCCTCTATCAACAAATTTGTGAATAAATTTTCCAAAAGAAAATTTTAAAATGCTTATTGTTGTTTCTATAGTGCTCTTGAGATCAGTATGTATCCATACCTTCCTACTAACATTATTGCTAAGATTAAGTTGAATATTTATCTTGTCTTTTCTTTATCGTTATATTTATAGTCAAATAAATTGTTTAGAATTTTTCTGAGACATGTCCATTAATGCTACCGACTCTCTTTCCATTACTAGAACAATTGAAGTTCGGTGTGTCTATCACTAGTGCAAAAAAAGTGTTTATTTTAAATGGATAATATACCTGCATAACTGCATATAATTCAATTTAAAAGTGCTAAATATAAAAAGGAGACCATAGAGATTCTAACGGAGAAGTTGATAACTATAATAATTACGGCGGCATAAGTTTAAAAAAAATAATTCCTTAGCTAATGCTTTTTTAAATAATGCTTTTTGTTTAATTTTTTCAATAATGTAATAAATTTATTCCTTCACAAAATTTCAGGTTTTATGTTTCACCATCTCAATACTTTCCTTTACTATATATTTCATATACAGTGTCAATGATATACAGTGAGAGTAAAAAGAGTTTGTGTTATTTTAATGGCCTTAATAATTTTTTACATGTTACCTCTAAGGTTTATGGTTAAAAATGAACTTCAAAAACTTTTTTAAAAGGTCAACTTTGCCAGAAAATAATTCTGTTCAAAGTAGGGTGGTAGATGAAAGCTGTTTGATGCGCGCCTCAGAGTTTTAATTCCTTTTTTTTTTACAGAATAATAAATAATTTCTAAAAAATATAGATCACCCAATAGTATTTGCAGCATGTGTAATGCAAACGAAACAGAAGATCTCTATCACTTCCTGGCTGCTTGTCCGATACTCTCTGAATTTAGAATTAAATGATTAAAGTCTAGAAATTTATCTCGGGATCAAGTAATAGATTTAATAAATGGAAACAATTGGACAGCATTGAGAAATTACTGCAAGTCTGCTTTGTCCTATAGAATAATGCTCACCAAAGAATTTAACAATTAATAAATTGGAGAATTTTGGTACCATTCTTTTTGTAATTAAAATACTTAAATAACTTTTACATTGTAAATACAATTGTTCTTATTGTTTTATTAATTAGTTGGATATAAGTAGATTGAAATATAATTTTGTTATAAAACACAGACTCCTATGACGGTCAACAGACCATGTAGCACGCCTGATTTTCGGTTTTAAATACAAAAATATTATTTTGTAATTTATATATGTAATTTTAATTAATAAAAAGACCTTTTTTCTATAGATTACCCAGCCAGTACTATGCTATATACCTACTTATATATGTGATAGTATTAAAGGATAAAAGCGTAGAGAGAGACCTGGAGACAGAATATCTCGACAAAAGACAATCTGCTGATAGAGAGAAAGAAATAGCCCGGGAGAGAGAAGGTAATACAGAGCGGGAATAGTATTAGGTCCTCTATTGTAGCCAGTTAAAATTCAGGGCAGCGCTGGGAATACATGCTCGGATGGGCCACGTACTTCACCACGCGCCTTCCTACGGCTCCTGTCTACAGCTTCTCCCTTTGTAGCTCAATAAATTCAATAATGCGCAACCATATTGCTAGTGTATATATTATCGATATTTTTCATATGCATCTAAATATTAATGCGTTGTAACAAAAATAATACAGTTATTTCCATATGAAAGCAATGGTGGCCGATTGTATTAAAACGTTGACTTAACACAACTGCTTTAACATTATTATTGGTGGTTATCGAAATTAATTTCACGGTGGACCCACGGAATAGAGAATTGTGGAAGTTACATAATATTAAGACAAAAAATTATAAACAATGTGAATAAGCTTATTAAAATTATAAACAGTAAATACATTAAAATAAGAGTAACATGATATCATATTATATATTTTTTCCTTTTCTTTCAATCTCTCTCGTAGATCTGTAGAAGTATATTCACATTTGCATATATTATATAGTACACTACAACAATTGTTACCATCTATTTACTTCAGTTTAGGATCTTGTTACTTAGCTTACTCTATTTATATTTTAATGTACTTACTAAGGAAGCTGAATGGAATTAAAGAGTACTGGTGGACAGGAATTGCGTCGGAGTGTAAAGGTAATATGTTGGCATTTAGATTCATTAACTTTAATGCGCCAGTTATTATACCAGTGCTCAATCAAGGTGAGGGCTTTGGAGATTTAAGGATGCTATTTCGGGATCAGAGTTGGATGATAAGATTGCGGTGTCGTCAGCGAATGTTGCAAGGAAAGTATCGGGATGAACAGGGATGTCAGCAGTAAATAGGATGTAAAAGCACGGGACCCTCGCCTGATTGTGAATAGGTATGCATGTGTTTTTTTTTTTCTTCGTTCTAGCCCTGAAGAAGACCTGCAAAGTCGGTTCGAAACGTTGGCTTTTAATAAAATAGTTTTGCCACTATTTAGGCTATTTATGACCGCAAACCCGGACCATCTCCTTCCTTTATAATACGATTCGGTTGAATCTACAGAACAATCTTACCTCCATCCTTTAGTATTCCAGAAATGATAAAGTAGAGGTTTTATTTATATATATATATATATATATATATATATATATATATATATATATATATATATATATATATATATATAAGGATTTATTTTTTCCTCAACTTCCTCGCATTTTAGTCTATGCAGAGTTTTCTCAGGACAAGGAGTGAGGGCGGGGATTAATGCCAGAGTTAAAAGACTCCCTGGACGCGAACTCGTAATTACTTTGTTTAATTATCCTTGATCCAGGTTGCCAAGTAAAGCGCATAAAAAAGGTCGAAATTCATAAAAACTTAAAAGTTTAGCACTGTATGTTATCCTATTTAAAATTTTAAATTATCAATAAAAATACATACCCATTTTTAGTACAAGTAGCGTGGAATGTGAATGCAGTGTAACACGAACAACGCATCAGACTTTTTCCGTTACGATAAGACTGAAATATTTTAACAGTTACCAATTTCCTGAAGGATGGACGCTTGAGAGGTAGTAGTTATACGGTGGCACGAAATGACCCTAAGGAGAGAGGTTGAGATGTTTTTAAAAAGCCGTTTAAGCTCCTCCTGAAGAGACAGTTTAAGCCGGGCTATAGGCCACGTGCTCAGCACCTGCGAACCACACTATCTTCCAAAACACGTACTCGCCAATCCCCCTCCTTATCGCCCGCCTTTGATCCTCCCTATCTTTATATCGCCTCTATAAACATTGTCTCCTCCAGGACCCTCCTTCCATCTCCAGGGCGTCCTTTCACTTCCAGGCAGGCCCCGATTTAAACGTCAAATAAATCCCGCTTCCGGGCGTACGACGTTTCGCTTTCTACCCTTCGCGATAAATCCGCTCTGCTGAAGAATTTGCATAATACTATCAGAAAATGATCTATACAAACTGGGAGTGTGTATATATATAGAATAGAATAGAAAATAATGTTATTCTGAAACGAACTCCCTTCAAAATAACAAAAAAGTACAAAAATTAAAATGTTATATCTGGCCAGATAAAAACAAACATAAAAAGTAAAGATAAAGATAAACCATTAAAAAAAAATATTAGTTATACACACTATATACAAAATAAAATTTAGAAAATCGATATACAAAACTCATGAAACCATACCAAGATACTTAAAACTATGTATAATGGTAAAATATAAATAAACCCTTTTAGAAAAAATAAAAAATACAGAAAAAAATAAATGTAAATTCTTCTTAACAGTAAAATCTGTGTTTCTGTTGAAAAAAAAAAAAAAGAAAGTCGAATCTATAATAAGTATTTAAGTTATGAGCTATATGTGAATATATTATTATAAATAATATGTAATTTTACATAAAAGGTTAGCTGGTATCTAGAGTTTTGAATTTAGATAGGAATGAAGAATGTCGAATTTTGATAGGAAGGGAATTCCAAAAATTAACAGAGCGAGCAACAAAGAGTTTTGGAACGAGGCAGATCTGTGAGAAGGAATGTAAAGGTCGGAAGGTCGAGATCTTGTGGAGAGGGAGTGGACTGAGGACTTGAATTGGAGAAGGTTGTAGGCGTAGGAAGGACGATGATTGTTGATGATTTGATAAAGGAATGTACCTAGGAAATATTGTCTTCAAATGGAGGGGATGAACATAAAATCTTCTCAAAATTACTTATTATTGTGATGAAAAAAAAAAAGAAAAAAAAAAGAGGAAAGAAAAGCAATTACATATCTATATATACATAACTGCACAATTTATAACCAATAGGCTATCTAATAGAAAAATAATTTAATACAAAATGTAATAATATTTACAGTGATTCATATAATAATAAGCAGACAATAAGATAAAATAAAATCTCAGGATTAATTGTGGTATAAAGGTGAAAAAAGGAATTATATACACGTACATACCCATATTGGTACACAGAGAGACAAAAAGTATAAAATATAAACATATATACCCGAAAGAAAAAGCATAACATGAGGTGACGAGAAATACAAATAACAGTTTTTATTTAAAATTATACGAACAATAATACATTAAGAAATAATGTTTTAATATTTTTTACCATAATACATGGTTATATTTTACCATTTGGGGGATAGGGCTTCAGCCTGAAATCCTTCCCCGTAGATCCGCCTATTGTTTATGTATACATTAAAAAAAAAATTTGCTCTCACTTAAAAAATTATTTTAAAATATTCCAAAGAAGTAAACAGAAATGTTAATATTCTTAGCTTAATTCAAATTAATAATAACATAGTCGTGATAAAAAACACAAAAACAAAAATGATTAACAGCTGTAATTTTTTATTTTCTTCTAACTAAATATCTGCTTCGGGCAAGATGGATTCATATATTTCATTATTGGAATTACGAGAACATAGCGATTTTTACTTTCAGAAAAAGCCACCAAGAAAGAACCACTCGGGAGTACCTTCTAAATTGAACACAAAAAATAATCTGTAAGTGCTTTGAAAGAGTCATTTAGTAATGTAGAAACTACTATTACAAGATACTATTATAATGGTAATAGCATTAGATAATAACTCTACACTACGTAGGCGTTATTCTGTTATTTCGTATGATTTTTGAGATTCAAATTTCACACAGAAAAGTATATTGTAAATTTGAATTTTTTCTACTTTAAGCATACCATTGAAGTTTTGAAGTGTTTTTGCATTTGGGGTACTTTTAGTCTAAGGGGCCGTTTTGAAACCTCACTTCTTATCTATCTTATCTAACGTCATGTCATCATGTTACATAACCTCCCTCTTCTTATCCCGCCAAACTTTTGAGTTATTGCATTGTTTGGTTTTCAGTTATTCCCTTATTACGTTCACTTATTAAATTGTTTACTTTTGGCCCGTTTGTGTTTATTTTTAGTTTTTGGCCCGTTTGTGTTTATTTTACATTTTTTTTTAGTTTGTGACCCCTTGGTGTTTATTTTTCATTTTTTTTTTCGTTTATTTCGTATAAATATGAATATAAGAAAAAGAATAATTAGTTCAAAATGAAATAAGACAAAAGGAAGTGAATAATTAACTTAAAATAATTTGTATATACGTTGTTTATAGTGTTTATATTTTTTCTTTTCTATGTAAATATGTTCTTTTAAATTTGTTATGATGCCGATGTTATGATTATAATTTGTTATGATGTTTGATGTTTTATATGTACATATCTTCTTAAAGTGTTTTTTTATTATTTAATTAATATATTTGCCGTCAAATAAAAGTATTTTTGTTGTTATTACATTTGTTTTTGTATCTGTTTACACTTTCAATAATACGAATTTAATACAATAATATGAAGATGTGAAGTAGGAGAAGGCTTATCACTGCGTTATGGGAGCTATCAGTGTTCAGGTTATAAACATTGCCAGATAGCAGTCAGTAGCGGCCCCTTAGACTAAAAGTACCGCATTTGGATTAAAATATCTCAGAAAGTAAAAGTTAGACCTGCATACTGTAGGCAAATGATATTACTCAAAACTGTATCTTAGCGCGACGTGTTCGCGAGGCAAAAAGGAAAAAGGATAGTGTCGAAAACCAAATTATAACAAGTTTGGTTGAATATATAGATTCAAATATCTCAAAAACTAGAAATCGGACCTACATACTGTAAGTAAGATACATTTTCAGCATTTCATCATCTTTGCAATAAGATATTATTCAAAATTGTATCTTAACCCGACGTCGTACAGTGGCATGGTAAAAGACATAAAAATGGAATTTATTATAGCATGTCGGGCATTCTGAACTAATATAGAATAAAACCATTTGTGTAAGACCAATCGTTATTATTATTGTAATTTTTTTCAAAAATAAATAAAATTTATTTTGCATGAAATGAAACTAGCTGAAAACATTAACCCAGTATCAATTATGAGTCCCAAAATTAATTGAATTTCTCTTCAATCTTTTTCTTCGCATTTTTTTTTAGTTTATTTTTTTTTTTTTTTGTTTCTTTACTTTCCTTCAGTTTTCTAAGATGGAAATAACTACATTATATTAGTATAAATTTATTTGGATTCAGGTAGGAATATTTTCTAACTCGTTTTTTTGTATAAGTTTATTGGCTGAATTTGCCAGCTAATTACCAAAGCCTCAAACTATCGCAGTGATTTTTTTTATTAATCATTAGCAGAGGGTTCAAAGAACATTTTGATTACAGCACGAGGTACTTTCCGATAGAAAAACGAAATTCCAGGATCCGTTGAGTGATAAATTATCCAATGAAAACACAAAATGTTTGAATTTATTAAGTAATAACTTTTTAAGAACTAATTTGACTCATTTTGACAAATCACACAACAAAATATGTGTTGAGAATTCAGAGAAAACGCCTAAAATACATTTAATGATTTATAACAAGTATGGTAGAAACTGGCTTTTTAGAAATAGAAATAGAAAAATCATCTTTATTCTGGGACTAGGTCCCTTTAGAATAACAGTATTGTTCATATAAATTAACCATAAATCTGGCCAAAAGACCTATTACAATGAATAACAAAATACTAGTAATAAATTAAGTAGAACAGCTCTGGATAATAGGGGTTCAATACTACATTATTGGAGCTAAAACAATATCATAATAATCATTAAATGAAATTAGAAAGGAACGAAAATTAATTTTATAAGCAAAGCATTGTAGTGATGGAATATAAAAATTTAAAAAAAATAAATAAAATAATAACTGTTAATATATAAAGAAATAAATTGTAAAAAAAAAATGATATACATATGTTGTCTAAGATATTTAAGTGATTACGCGTAAAGATTAGGATAAGAAAAAATAAAATAAAGTGTATATATATATATACACAGAGCGAGGAGTGTGTCGAAGATAATTAGAAAATAAAATACATTTCAAAGAAATACAATCTCATGAATAGAAAAATTAGAAATTGAGAAAAACAATTTTTTTTTTTTAATTTTTATTTATATTTCATTGAAAAACTTGGATACTGGTATTTTTATTCCTGCCTAAACTTTAGTAATATATAAACTTAATTATGTCAGACATTGAAAACACAGAAACTTGAAATCATCAAAGAACCTTGAAAACAGGTGTTGAAAATATGTCTGACCACTGTTCATGGTGTTAGAGAGACAGGAGATGGAAAAGGAAAGTGTCGAAAACTAAATGATACAATACATAAAACAAATCAACAAACAAATATACAACAACAAAATAAACAAATAAACGAGTTTGGTTAAACATGTGGACTATAATATCTCAGAAAACTATAAATCGGATCTTCAAATTGTAATCAAGGACAATTTTCAGCATTTCATCCTCTTTGTAATGAGCTTCGTATTTTTATCACTGGCATTAATTCCCCGCCCTCACTCCTGGTCCGGGAAAAACCCCTAATAGCCTAAAAGGCGATGAAGGAGTGAACATAAAAATAAGCTTATCATACTACAATGTAAAAAAAAAAAGAACTTATTCGCCCTAAAAGTTTCTAACTATTGTAATTTAACACCGGAGGGAATTAGACTTTGAATATTCGAATTAAAATTTAATCGTGAAAACGAATCGATTTCAAAGATAAAACGACTCCAGCAGAAAATGTCTAGTTCACACAGATTGCAATTGGTATATAGCATTCACACTAACAAAGGCACAATCTCTTTGGAACATGATTTCGTATCAATTGCCGGAAAAGTACCAATACAAAGTTTGATTCCTGAATTTTTTGTGAATATTTAATATTGAGTCCATCTTTCTTAATCAATTACCTTTTTGACACACAAGAAATTATTTTAATATTGATGTATATTTAATAATCACAAGCATTAATAAACAGAACTTTGTTTTCAGAGTCAAAAATACCCCAAACCTCTTCCACAAATCAGAAGATCCTCCTTTAGATTTAATGGTCAACTGCTTTTTCAACTCGAACACAGAACCTTTCTGTAAGTATTTACAGTAGGAAGTGTAGTAATTAATATATAAATTATTTTAAATATAACATATTTTATAAGCATTCTTAGAATATATCTGCAGGGGAGAAAAGAAACCAGACCAAAAAAAATGAAAATTTTTACTATGAATAAGCTGAATGCATTAACTTTAAATCCCTCATATAAGAAAATACCATAACCGATATATGCAATAGTTTTTAACAATTAGATTGCCTAAATGGTCTTATTTCAATAAAAATATCGCGACATTTTGTTAAGTTAATAGAAACAATTAGTTATTTTTCAACAGTTTTAATTTATTTAAATTGCTAAATTTTAAAATATTTTACATCTCTTTAATAAACATTGCCATAATCAGATGTTAATAGGAAACCAAACCTAGCTATCCAAAAATTTAATTCTTTCCTGCTATGTCATAACTATGTTTGGTTTCCGTTAACCCACTATAGACAATTGAACTAATAAAAGCTGATATCTGTTTAATAACAACAGTTTTACTTGATTGAAGCTGAGACAAGATTTATCGATTAGATCATTAAATAAAACACATTTAAATTAACGCAGACATATCAATGGGTTTACTGTATTTAAACTGGAGCAAGACCTCTTAAAGAAAAACCATTTGTTAAAAAAAATTAATTTAAGAAACACACTATTATCCTTTCGCCCCATACAACTTATTTTTATATCACTTATTCATATTCTCATAGAATGGCACACATAAGAATCGAAACCAGAGCTAATAAAAATATTGAAACATACTTTTCTACTATGAAAAGTATAGTAAAATTCTATATACGAATTTGACAAATATGTATGTGACAGTGTGATCTGTAAAACTACAAAAGAGTTTTGAAAATACGCAAAAACGGTTTAATTTAATTACTACGTATTCAAAGGTTTAAAACAATTTCATTCATTGATGTAAAGTTCCTAAAGTATAAATTAAATTCATTAATAATTAAATTAAGAGTGACAGACTCAGACTTCGAGGATGCGATGATCTTCCCCTTCCCCAATAAAAATGATGAAGTGGCAAGAATGTTGGTTCATCCCCTCCCCTCTCCAATAATTTGAAAGAAAGCAAAACTTAAAATTGATAACAGATAAGATACATGAATAAATAAAATATGTAAACTAAAATGGATTAATAAAATACGACTACCTGACTAAACTAAGACCTAGAAGAAGGGGCGTAACTATTTTATTATATTAATTATATTATACTATTCCTATTATTTATGTTTACTTATAATAATTCACCTCTCATGTGGACTACTTAGACTACTGTCATCAATACTTAGAATTTCTACCATTTTCAAGTGATTTTCTTATAAATCTTTTGCGACAAGGTTGGAATATATATAGAAGTATAAATATATATTAAGACATTTTTACATAACTTTTTATACTGTAAACGTTTTATTTTAATTTAGAGATTATAAAAATTAAGAAATCTAAAAATAGTTTTCGGTTAACATTATTAATTTTTAGCTGAATAAGTTCTAGAAATGTATCTACGTTATGGAGGCTGTCGGCCTTCTATCCATCTTTAATGTTCAGAAATTGTAATGTATCTAAATAGTTTATTCAGATATGTTTATACAAGAATGTAATATATATATATATATATATATATATATATATATATATATATATATATATATATATATATATATATAAATTAATTTTCTGAATATTAAATAATATATTTGGTTGCTTTAAATCAAACATGTTGAATTTTTAAAACTAATATGAATTACTGCTATTTTTTGTTTTTTGTTTATCCGCCCCTCCCCCAAATCAAAACGAAAAGTCTTGATGTTAAGAGTACCCACCCAGCTTATGGAGGCTGGATGAGCCCAAGGAAGGTCTCCCTATCTACGGCTGATAGAATAGAAAAGAAAAATGATGAAACTATACTAATAATCATTTTGTTTTGTTTATAGACGAGAAAATATTGTTTCAATAAAAATTAGACTTATAAAAGATTAGCTATTATACTCTTCATATACATTTCAATATGCTATTAAGATAAAAAAGATTGCTATAAAATGTTCTCATTACTTTTTATTAATAATTAATTAATATTTTAACAGCCAAAGAAAAAATAAAACGAAATGTACAACATAGTTTCTTCAAGTCCGAACTGAATCACATGAAACCCAAAAAATAAAAGATTAATGCAACATACAAAAGAAACCGAAAGCCCTTAAATGTAATATTAATAAAATTTGAAGAAATAAAAATTGATTTCTCTAATGAAGTGTTCCTTTTGTATGAAGACTTCAGAAAAGAGTTTTTCTTATATTTTTTGTCTGGAGTGGTGTCTGGAAAAATCATTTAAAGTTTTGACTTTTTCAGATAGATTATACCTGAATCAGCCTGAATTAGAATGAATTAATATTAAATTGAAACTTATGTTATAATTATAAAATTCGAACCACACAGTCTTGTTTTTCTAAAGAACAGAACAACCAATCACAAATTCGTCAATTCAATTATAAGGACAGAAAAGCAAACCAATTGAAGTTAACTATTACATTATTATTAATACATAATTAATACATTAAGTTAAATATATGACATCCGACCTTATACAAGAGGAACGTCAAAGTAAAACAGGTGAGGGCGTTTATAATCAAACAGCTGATCAGCAAAAAAAAAAGAAAAATGATGACGTAAAAATGTACCCATAAAAGAGAGGTAATATTAAAAAATCTAGAGTATCAACTCACATGACTTTCCTACAAAATTCAGAAAATATTTTATATCTTTACATATCTCCATTAATAAACAAAAAAAATTCGATTACATTATTTTTTCTGAAAAAATATATATAAACGAAATAGTAAAGCTTGTGTGATGCGGAAAACAGATTCTCTTACATTCACTTAGTTTATCTTTTTTCTCTCTTATTCACCCCTTTCTAACACAAGGATATGAAACCGTAATCTTACATTGGAATAGTTAATAGTTGTCGGAAATGAACGATTTTTATATAGTTTTGTAGAGAATTTCATTAACTTTAAAAAAAAATTAGGTTTTTTAAATTTTAGGAACTAGGTCCAACACTAGTTCAGCTATTACCTGTTCGATTCCGATGATTTTCTTTTTCTTGTTTGTACGTAATTTAAATTGTACCATAGAATATATACTTAGCGAGTTAGACAGCAGAAAATTTTTCTTTTCTATATAACTTTTTTCCTGAATTACACGGGGAAATTATTACATATACGAAAATTGAAAAGACCATTGTTATAACATTATAGGTAAGTTTCATTAAAATCGTTAAAGTCGTTTTTGCGCTACAATCTATAGAAAAACATATTTTTCATTTTTTGCGCAGCCACTATTGCGCATTGAACACCTAATTTGTCTCACAGGCGTCAGTAGTCAAAACCCTACAAAATAAAAAAAGAAGCAACAAAAACGGTACAGTAGTTCCCGAGAAAATCTTGGACATACAGACAAACGAATGGCTAAAAATGTGTTTTTTTAAATCCGTCGAAAAATGCATATCGGAAATTTGACCCGACCGCAATACTTTCCTTACCTGATATATGTAGGAAAGTAAAAATAGGCAGATTTATTAGACTTATTCAAGATCTTCAACATTTGAGAATACAACTTGTTTATTGAGAAATATTACAATCTGTCTCAAAGGACATTCATATTTTATGAACAATAAAATTAAACGGCAAAATAATACAACTAAAACTAAAACAAACAAAAAACATAAAAACACAACTAATCAAAATAATAACTTAAATACAAACATATTTTCATAAAATATTTACTAAATCCATTCACTCAGGAGTTTTCAACAGAAATAAACGTTTTAAGGTACCTTGAGTCCAAATAACCAAATCCCGAAAAATAGTCTGTCTGTCTGTGTATACGTGAACACTAGCTCAAAAACGAATAGTTGTACGAAACTGATAGTACTTATTTAAGACAGGTATATGTCTTAGATGTGACAGCAAATTTTTTCTTAAAATCGCCTAACCGAAGTGCCACTTTATATCAACGGTGAAACACATTTTTACAATTTTCTCAAAAACGGATTTTGAATTAACTCGGTGTAACATTGTATAATTAAGTAGTTTTTAATTACATTTAGTGCTCATCTTCATTGATGCCACTTTCCAGGGCTTAAATGCCCAATGTTCATATACGTCTTCCTCTACAGTACCTTAAAATACGGTTTATTGAAAAAAAAAAAAAAAAACCTCTTTTATGGACAGTAACTATAAAAAAAGGCGCTAAATATGAAGTTTGAAAGAATATGATAATTATAATAATAATATGATAAAGAATATGAAAAATGCTTTTTAAGAAAAATTGATGTCTGCACGTAATCTGGTTAAGTCTTATTTTCTTTGTTTATGCATGTAATCTTTTAAATTAATTTTAAAACACACTTTAATATTAATATTTAAAAAATAATCTGTATCTATTATTTTTACCGTTATTGTGTATGTGTTTTGTTTTTTGACCATTTTTGATTTAATATTTATAATTTAGTAAAAAAAAAACATAGAAAAAATTACAATAATGTTTGTTATACGGAGATAGATTATTTGTATGGATTTCTTTTCTCAAATCAAATAAAGCCTTTACCGACTACAACTCGTGATGGTTCTTGGGTTCAGTATTATTAAGTACTGTTTCTTAGTCAACGGTTGCTCAAGGAGGTGATTTCATCGAGATCACGCTCAACTGACTGAAATTACTAAAGGTTTTCCTCCTTAATTAATTATTTAATTAAGGCTACCCATTTTATAGAGGCTGGGTGTGCCCCAGGAGGATTTCCCCACGGCTTATGACAAAAAATAAATCATTTTTCTACCATGAGTCGGGATTCGAACCTGGGACCTCGACCATTGAAAAATCAGTACCCTATAACTGAACTACCCCACTCACCTCAGAACAAAAAAGGATTAAATAAATATTGAGCCATCGTTTTGAAGATTATCTTCTCCTTCAGGTAAGAAAAATAACTACATCCCTAAAAAAAATCAGAGAATAATATTAAGAAGAAAAAGAAATTTCATTTGAGCATAAATAAAAAAATTACTAAATTTCCTACAAATTGAAAATAGAAAATTATTAATAATAAACAAGAAAAATGTAATATATAAATTAAATTGTCAAAACTGCTTCAAAATCTACATTGGTGAAACATCCAAGCAATTAAGGACCAGAATTTCACAACATATTACCAACTGTAAAAATACAAAAAACTTAAACACAACAGCTTTAGCACATCACAGCATAAGATTACAGCATACATTCAACTTCAATACACCACAGATATTAGGCACAGAAATAAAAAACACCAATAGGAAATTACTTGAAACAATACAAATCACAAAAAAACAATAGAACAACAGTCAATTATAAAACAGACACTAAACATTTAGGAACTCATTATACGGACATATTAGACAAAATTAAAATTTAATAGAAATGAAATCGCAGATACATAAAATAAACATTTAACAACAATAGTATAAAAATAGTCAGATAAAACAGTCAGATCCAAAGGTCCATTGTATTTCACTAAAGCAGACACCCAATTATTAGTCTAAAAGCAAGATGTAGTTCTAGATGTTATATGCATAGATTTTTATAACATGAACTACAAACTGACGATGGAACACATCATTTTTTAAGGTAATTACAAATTTATTGTAACAACAAAATTCTGACATGTATTGTAACATGCACTATATTTTAGCTCAAAATAATTTTTAGCCTTGCATCCACAATATCATTGGGATTGTGGTTCTGAAGATGAGAGTAAATATTCCAGAACGTAAACTTGTAAACATGTAACTTTGATCATACAGAAAATATATTAGATTGTTGCTAATTGAAAGTAATTATTGCCAAATAACTAAGTAACTAAGAAAATTATCGAAATCGGGCTAGAAATTAGAAAGGTACTTTGATTCATTATTATGAATGAACTATGATAATCAGCCAAGAAAATCTTTTTTCTATGTTATATCGACATATGTTCACTGACCTATATATCCACTTAAAATTTCTCATGTATTATTATAGGAGTATTGTTTAGTATACCATAAAGATATCCTTAAAAGATAATAAAGACGGGTTCTAGCGATTTCACAACTAGCTAAGCAGCCTTTTGAGGCCAAAGTATTAAAAGCTAAGAAGGGAACAAGAAATTGTGACAGGACGAAATAGGGCCTATAAAGGCGATATGATCGGGCACCAGCTTTGCTTTAATGGCAGGCAATAGTCTGTTTCGATGCAACTGTTATTGCTTGATTTGGACCGCTCCCAAATCCTTGCTTATAGGCTCCTCAATTCCGGAAATATTTTATCTGCTCGGAAAAAAAATACCACTTTTATGTCCTACTACAGTACTCTGCAGTCATTCAATAAACATATTTTGCTTTCAAATTCCTAAAATAAAAAAAAAAAATGTTTATATAGCGTGAAGATGAAACAGCAGTATTCTCTTCCTCATACCGTATAAATACCATTATAAATAGAATAACTGATACTTTGAAATGAATACAATGAAATGAAAAAAACAGGTGGTGTGTCCACTCATACGACTTACCTACCTATTTCAAGAAAAGTTTTTATATCTTTACAAAAGCTCATAAAGAAACAAAACAAAAATTGAACTAGATTTATTTTCCTGAAAATTGATCAAAGAAAAGATTTTAGTACGATTTATTTGATAAATTAAAGCAATGTAAACCAGCTTAAGGTAGATCAGTGTAATAAATTCAATACTTTTCAATATTGCTGATTATTGTATATAGGTATGATTGTGTTTAGAAGTTTCTATTTTATGTTATTGTTTACTTTTTTTTACTTTCTTCATCAGTATTATTTATTTATTTTTTATATTTATATTTATTTCTCTATTATTTGTATATATTGTTTGAATGAGAACTCTTAGCCCTAATACTTATAGTATATACCTAATACTTATAGCCCTCCAGCAGTTGCTGACTGCATTATTATTCAATAAATAGATTTAAAAAAAAAAATATATATATATATATATATATATTGCTGATGAAAAACTTTTTGTCATAGCTTAGTATTCTCAAACAATAATTTCTGTTTAAAATAGAGAAAATAGTGAAGCTTGTGTGATGCGGGCCACAGATTCCCTTACTTTCACTT